TTTTTGGAACATGAATCGAAATTTCCTTGCAAATTGCAATGCAGCAACAATAGAAAGTTTTTTCTTTTTGAGTACAAACAGTAAAAAGTTGGAGACAAATTAATTATTTCAGAAAACAAAAGTGCAATTAATTCTTCATGCACTTTTTCTAATTATTAATGGAGAGGCAGGTTTTTCTTTTAATTAGACAATAAATAAATTAAAAATTAATTTTTATTTTTTATTTTTTACAATTTAATGGTCGAATGGTGCACTTATTGCAAATAATATACAAAAACGAAAATGATTATTTTGAATGAGGCTAAGTCTTGTGGATAGTTCAAATGAAAGCATCTGTTTCATTATTTTTAGAATAGTGATACAAAAATAATCTTTTTATATCATTTTTATATATTATTAAATAAGTAGATATATATTTAATATTACAAATTTTAAATAAATAAAAAAATTAATAATTTAAATGACGTATAAAATTATATTAAAAAATAATGTAAAAATATTGTCTCTCATTCATTTCACTTGTTTCTATTATGGCATATATCTCACCCGGTTTTATTATGCCAAAAATGTGGAGCTTCAGCTGCCTAGCTGGTTTCAACACACACGAAGCACCGTGAAAAGAACGTACCTGTATGAATTGATGCTAAAATTTTGGCCACAGAGAAAATCCTTGCTAAAATTAATTGTTTGGTCCTACTAGTAATTGAATGTTTATTGTTTGGTCCTACAACAGCTGCGAGGTCTACCAATCTTTGCTTCAACAGCTGATGAAAAAACAAAACTAAGCTTTCAACAGACAACATTAATTAATCCCTCAATTTGGATCCGTCTGAGATTCTAAAATGCTACTCTATTATCAAAATGCCATCCTATTTAGAACAAAATTACATCTTCATTTCCTCTGAATCAAGATCATGATTATCGTTCACTTTTAACCAATAAAATGCGCTGTACTTTACAACTTCCTGTACAAGCTCCTGTACCTTGTGAAGCATGTGTAATCTGTGTTGGGTACGTATTTGCATGTGAGTAGATTGTGGAATTGGAAGTGAAGAGTGAAAAATAAGTTATAAGTGTGAAAACCTATAAACTTAATAAATTAATTTTTTGGGTTTAAAATGATATCTTCACATCTTAAGTTTTTATTTGAGTATTACTATTAGCTTAGTTTCTCAATCCAACAACATGAGTATTGCCTTAAACTACCCAACGAAGTCGATAATGGGCTAGTGGAGAGAAAAGATGAAAAATAAAGGAGTTAAAAAGAGAAAACAAAATGGAGGGAGTGGGTGAGAAATTAAGTTCGGCACGCTGCACGCATAAAAAAGAGTACAGCAAATATGTAATTGTTAAGGAGTGGAGAAGAAGAAAGAATATGTGTGATCAGAGAGTCAATAATTCCAATTACCACCCATCTAGAATGCGTCAGTGATGCAAATACATGACAAGGATAATAATATTGGTTTTTACAAAAGTGACTTAGATTTGTAGAATCTAATTACAATTACCACCCTCGTAGAAATTCAGATGATCGACTTTACTTTGTTTCCATTAACATACACTTTGTTCAAATTTATTGTAAAACAATATACACTTTATTCAAATTTCTCGCATAAAAAGAACTAAAGAAACCCAAAAACGACCCTTGGTCTTCTGACCTAGCAGCAACTGCCACAATGAAAGTTGTATCCCTCTCCCCTTAGGTGGGTTTCACCCGCCCATGACCAATTGTTCAAAAAAAGAAAACAGAAACCCAAAAACGAGTAAAATATTTAAAACATTGAATCACGTTTTAGTGGTCCTATCTCAAACTCTACTTTTTATAGATTAAGAATTTGAAAATAATTTATAAATTCACCTTCATTACCTTTATATACCCTTTCTGCTCAATTTTAGTATTAATGAAATAAGCGTTCGAATCATTTACCTAAATTGACAACTAAAAAATGGTAATTTGCTAGTGAAAATACTGATGATCATTAACCTGAAGTGAAGTAAAGGGCTTGATTTGCATAATTTCTTAGGGTATGTTTGGAATTACTGTAAAGTATTGTGATTGTAATCGTAACTGTAGTCGTAACTGTAGTCGTGACTATAATCATGTTAAATTATATTGTATTGTGGTTGTCATTGAAAATTATTTTAGTATTTAGTTACTTATTTTTTTAAAATTACTATGGAACCTAAATTAATCAAATGGAAGATAAAAATTAAAAAAAAATACTATAATTAAATATAAT